GGTCCACCATTTCTTGAGTCACTGATGGTGGATTTTTACACCACGGCTTGTTTCCCTAACCGATCGTCAGCCCAGCTGAATATGGATGCTCGCGCCGACCTATGTGTAGACCAGTACAAATGTGCGGTTTTTTTCACTTCTGGGATTTAGTGTAGATCATGAGGTCAGTTTGCGGTCGGTCGGTTACGACATCACACCGGTGCAACTGATAAGTACGGTACTGTGTGCGTATTTAGTTTGGGAAGGTAAAACAGATGCAGGGTAGCAGGGGAATGTCCGGTCTAGCATGAACAAGTACGGATGGATGCAACTAACGGAACTGGCCAAACTCCACCAACTGAGTGAGCGGTAGCCTTTGGTAGCTTCCATACATAGCCGACATCAACCCAGAGGTGTGACCATGGCACCGGAAAACAAAAGACATACTGAATTCCACCAACTGAGTGAGCGATAGCCTTTGGTGGCTTCCATGCATATACGACATCAAACCAGAGGTGTCACCATGGCACCGGAAAACAAAAGACATACTCCTAAATCACATGAGTTGGTCAGCCAGTCATCCTCACGCCTCCCATTTAGTGCGGTTGAGAAAGGTATCCTGAAATTTGGAACCTGACTTAGTGGTCATTGGTCGCTGAATTCCAGAGCCATGACATGCGAGAACGAAATCCCATTGAGTTGTGGAGAATAGAGCTCAGTGAGATGCAAGTATAGTTCCCCTAAGTGATAGGAAACTAAGTTGGACGTGCTGCTGATTCCCTCGAGGATCGACGCCGAGTAGCGGCCACTTTTCATATTTTTGACCACTCGCCAGTAACATGAAACATCCTTCTTTCGGGGGTGCCGCCAGCTTCAATCGACAAATGATTTATCCATCAATTTGGTAAATCCATTGAATACTGGGTGGACTTGCTGCAGATCCTTATCGTGGATCAATGCTAAGCAGCGAGAATTTTTCAAATTTATTTTGACTACTCACAAGTAGCATGAATGCACCCTTTTATTCAGATGCCGTGTTGCTTTCCCAGGCTTTTCTGCCCCCTCTCGATATTTTACTTCCCCCCTGATTGCTAGTACCGGGGTTTTAGCACCTCATCAGGAATCGAACGCCGGACCCTCAGAAGGCAGCCAAACACACCACATCACCAGTCAACTTTTCTGGAGGTAGTCGTTTATATATATACTATATATTGATTTATAGAGTTTGGTGTGTTTGATGTAAACAGCCTAAGCGTTCGTGCATGGGTAGAATGCAGTTAATCGTCTTATCTGCCGTCATATTGTGGTGAACCTGTGTGCAGAAGGGCCGAGCTAACAATGCAAGCAATAAGGTGTGGTAAAATTACAACACTTCCAGGGGTGACTCTCCGTTGTACAGACCAAACGGCTAGAATTGACTGTCCATCTGTGTGTCTGGGGATGCGTCTCCTGAGGGTGCGAGCCAACAGATGACTCCTTTCATGCATACTCAACTGTTCGGCTGTACTCACTTGAGGTGATGACCATGGGTCGTCAGTTGAGTATGCCGCTGCCTGCTCACTCACAGGTCTTATTCCTTCTGGTTTACACCAGGTACATCGCATTCAGGGGGATGTTCACATGGGTCGGCGTAAACGGAATGTGGCGTTACCTACCGTTCGAAGGTGATCACATGGACGGAAATGGATGCCAGGTGACCAATCAATCGTTAATTGGGGCTCGTCTACCCGTCGGGTGTTCATTTCATAGTTATCTGACCCAAAGCATTGAGCAGAAACAGGTGATCACATGGATGGAAATGGATGCCAGGTGACCAATCGATGGTTTACTAGGGCTCGTCCACCCGTCGGGTGTTCATTTCAAAGTTATCTGACCCAAAGCATTGAGCAGAAAAGTGTCAAATGAACATAATATTCTCACTTGGGTGGCCTAGACAGTAGGCTCACCATCGTCGGCTCCTCGCCAGTGCAAATAGTCTATTCTCCGTTCCGATTCCATCCTTCTCCGGAAGAACTGCAGTACACATGTCCTCTGAACGAGGACTGGGATTTAGGCATCGTATACTACTCGTAATCCATTTACATAAATGAATGTTTTGCTTGAAAGTTCAAATTTTGATTTAAGCGGGGGAGGTTTCAGTCAATCTCCTTTGATTTTCCGCACGAACATAACACTACGAAACAGATGGGTGATTCTCCACAATGCACGCATAATGGGATACTTGTGTAGCGGCGTATACTACTGATGAGGTCTCAGTAGTCTGGGAGCGTGTCGGAGCCCCGCCCCATGTCTAATGGATGGCAGAGTTTGTTACGGAACTTGTGAAACTGCTTGCAATTGTGCACTGGTCAATGAATGTGCATGAACATTCAAGAAGATACATGAGAATCTTGTTTTTTTAGAAACTATGTGTATCTGAGACGTTCAATTTCCTGTTCAATAGTTTGTAACTGCTTAGTTGGTGTTTGCTAATAAAAGATTTCCCATCAAAGGGATTTTTTCCCATCACCAGCACACAATCGCTGGTCCCGTTGTCAATGTATACCAGGTTGGTGAGTCAACGTGCCATGCAGTGTGGCACGTTGAGTCCATGGTCCCAAGTCGGACGTTTGGAACAACCTTGATAACGATCGATAGTTGGTACCTTGTCCATCTGTCACTTTAGTGGTCACCACTTGGATAGTTGACAGTGACTTCAAAAAGACTGATGCACGAAATGTGGCTAGAGAAGCAAATAACCAGGAAGCAATCACGGTCTCTCACTAATTTGTTGCTATATAACCATAGAATGGCTATGAATCCACACATAGTTGAACTGTTTGTGGTTCAAGGACAGCAATTCAAACGACTAGAAGTCCTCAGAATTGGACGTTTTTGCTGGATCACGTGAAAGATCCATAAAATTATTCTTTAAGCTTATGAATCACCCCAAGCTGGGTTTGATTGAACAAGCTGAACGACATCCAATATTTCGACGTATCATTACAAAACTCCGGAGTAGATGAATTCTCTTATTGGAGTACCGTTCCCTGGCTCAAACATGATAGACGTTCTGAGAACACTCCGTTCTGCGGACAGAGGCCGCATTTGGACGGACCGAATAAACTTTTAGTGTTCTGTAGAGGAGAAATGTCCTTTTTCCACAAAGTACTTTTATTTAGAGCATGGAAATCTCTCTGTAGTCTGAAGTCAATCTGCACTGACTTATCCACTCCCGGTTCGCTCTTCGTTTGGGCTCCTTGTATGGTCATTCTCGGCGATTCTCGTTAAGCGAGGAATATGATTCACCAAAAAGTAGTCAAACAAAACATCTCAGAAATAAAACCTGATCAAAAGTAACCCAAGGAGATCAAGTTTTTGATCTCGTAGTAATGTATGCCTCTGAAACTCGCTGGTGAGGTTTGAAGCTGGATAAAATGGGGTCAAAGTGTGCCGATTTCGACATTTTTGGAAGCTGTGGATAGCAGAGATGTTTACTTAATTATTTCAGGTGTAATCTAGGGGTAAGGTGTGGCAACAAACAGTCACTGGTACAAAATTTTATCTGTCAGTTTCATCCAATGGCGTCAAGTATGTACATCACTAGATTTCTACTTGTCTTCTAACCGTCAAAGCTCATCGCATTTAAGCAATGTACCCCTTTCCGGATTGCTCAAAGGGTTTTTCACCTCTGGTAAATGGAAGACCCTAAATTGAAAAAAATTGGTCCGTTATTGAGAACCGAGACTAATTGGTTGCATTTGGGAAAAGTGCCTGATTTTGGATATAAAATTAACACCATAGTATCCCCTAACGGATTTCCGATGAAAACTTGCTGCCCACTGTATAGACATAACATACCACTGAGAAGTTTGCTGAGAACTTGTCAACATGATGTGGTCAGATGCAGCACATCCTTTTGAGTAAGAACATCATAAACGAAAGATTTAAGTGGATTCCGCGCGAGTCTCCCATCAAAACCAAGTTGGCATTGCTCGCTTTGCTGAAGCTAATGACAACGTGTCCGGCATTCCCCATCTCTGTTAGTGGCTCACACCCATAATGCCCCCTTCAGTTGTCTGTGAAATCACTCTGAAATTGACAGCTTTCAGGAAGTTTAAACTCCTGAAAGTGATCCCAGAACGCCCGGAACCTACTGACACCCTAAAAATCTACCAAAGTCCCAATAGGAAAGCCGGCAAGCATCCAGGCTAGCAAGCATTCAATCAATTCAGCAAAAGTCGATGAGTGTTCGGGCGCACTACAGAAGTACAACCGAATGTGATCAGCGTTCAGCCATTTCATATAGGCACGATCGATGTTGATGGGTGTTCACTAACGCCTATCAGACAACCTAGATCAATGTAAGAAAGTGCCCTTTAAATAGAGTGGGCTGTCGTAACTTTCGCACTCGCACGAACTCGCTTGTTTGGAATAAAGCTGCTATCTGCCCTTTTCTGGCCCCAAGAACGGGAGCGGGAACACCAGTTAGATATAACAACAACATGATGGCATGTTTAGTTTAGTTATTAGGAGAACCAGCTTCGAACGTGACGGGACTGCATAACAGCCAATGGAATAACCGTTTTTCTTTCGGGCAGATTTCATTAGTTGTTCTTCATTTGTCCTTGACAGACCGGGGTTCACGGTAACAAGAAGGCATCAAGGAGACTGTGGTCCACAGCACTAGTAAATCCATATTTCAACCATGCAGAGAAATGGGTATATAAAAACACCCTGGATGAATAACTGTTTCAAATAACACTGCTCACCTTCCAAACCACGTAAAACAGATGTGAAAGTGCTCACCGACTATTCCTGTTGGTGCACGTCCTGTATCGACCAATCCCATTTGCTTGAGGTTGCACTGTTCAAGTTCCTTACCTTAAATAGAACGAGTTAGTCAAACGGCAACTAGTTTCATTCACCAACTTTACTCACACAGCGATTGGATACCACAGTGGATCAATATGCTGGAGCTATGGCATAAATAGGCCTATCCAGTTAATGGCCTTCACCAAATGATATTTAATCACTGATAAGAAACATTCGCGTCACCACCAAGATTGATCAGTGTCATGTGAGCCAGAATGAATCTTCCTCATCAAACGCACTGTTAACTTGCGACCATGTTTCAGTTTAGAATGAGGATACCTCTCATTTCTCTTTGCGTCGTTATCCTAATCGTAGTGTGTATTACGTTCCACCGAAGAAGGTCGCTTTTCGATGCACAAGTCTGTTTGGGTGCGCGGAAAAGTCCAACTGATTGTCTGCAGTGTCTTGGCCTACCCGTACAATCCTACAATTACACGGTCACCTCAGACGAACGAGAATTCCCCTTGGCATACAGTATTCTGGTCTACGCGAACCCTGAGCGTGCAGCACGCCTTGTGGCGGCAATCTACCGTCCACATAATTTCTATTGTATTCACGTGGATCGAAAGTCTTCCCTTGGAATAGTGGATCTAATCAAGTTGTATGGGCAGTGCTTCGACTCCAATGTCTTTTTCGTCCCGGATGAACAAAGAACCGCCGTGCGATGGGGATATTTCAGCGTATTGGAACCCGAACTCACGTGCACACGCCTTCTACTCCAGCGGAGTGGAAAATGGAAGTATTGGATAAACCTGACGGGACAGGAATTTCCGCTGCGCACCAATCGGGAACTGGTTCTTGCTCTGAAGGCTTTGAATGGCACCAATATGGTGCAAGCTACCTATAAAAACCGAAACATTCAGAGGATTCCCCCACGTTCGGCAAACAGTCAAAACGTATGTCAGTTGCCTTTTTTGGTTCTCTGGTTATCATCAGTTTCATCAGTTTTATCAGAAGTACCGGATTCGGACTTCTATGAGTGTTTTTGAATCCTCATCAACACTGACGAAGGAACAACCGCCCAACGTGGGAACCCCCAACATTACTGGTCTGCATGTGAATACCAATCAGTTCAGCATATTTACAACTTAGATGCTATTTGCCATGATCGACTAGGATGCCGTGACTTTTCAAAACTATACATCAATGCGGCGATGGAGCTTCAACGTTGACCATGAATGTTGGGCTGTTGATGATGGCATTTGGCCAACCAATCATATCGCTGGAGAGTAAACACATCCGAGCGTTCATACTTGATAATTCCGGTGAGTTAAGGGTTCGCTAGAGTAGTGATAACTCAGTGGACTTGCGTGTCAGTTATTCCGACAACGTTGGGGAAACGCACTACTGATGAGGTCTAATAAGAGGGAAACTCGTGTTCACTGCTCACCTGAGTGAACTGAACTGGTCACGTGACAATGGAGCCACCAACATCTAAAACTAACAAACCTCCAAAGTTTTGAGTAAATAGGCGAGATTTGTAAACGACACGGATCCAAACCGTTCTAGTAGACTACCTATTCCACATTATCTAGGAGAACCCTACTTTTCAGACTGAGAATCCTCAGGGGTTTGAGCACAGAACGAAAGCTCCCCGTCTCACATGTGTCATGCCATACATTCTAACAGCTTAATCTTGGTGCCTCTGTTCTTGGGAGCAAAGTGACACAGCATGGTGCACAACCGTTAAATTATACTCATCAAGCTTCTATTCTATCCTCAGAAGCGGTTGGATGACCATCTGACTGAGTGGCGACCGATAACACCGAAGCGCAAAACACAGCCAAAGCACCACGCGGTCCCGAAATACGGCCATTCTGGTCTCCCACACTGAGCTCGAGATTGCTCGATGGTCAGCGGAATACTGGAATACTCCCTGGTTCGAACCCATCCCAGGCATGTTGACTGTTCCTGCCTAGGCTTCGGCAACCTGACACTAGGTTGGCCCTCGTGCTTCCTCTGAGTAAGATGTCAGCTAGATATCCAAAGTTTGTTACAGTGTATTTGTCTTCGCGTCAATTGAGCCTATCGTCGAATGGTAGAAAGCAACCTGACACCATTTTGTTCGATTTCATAGTTCGAAAACACTGTAGCATACATGAGAACAACATCAAGTCGNTCTCCCAAACAGTGTGATAAACAAAACCGGGAAACATATCTGTCTTTTAGTCAGCTAAGAAACTTATATTTGGACTAGGTAAAGTGATGCCTGGGGTCATTAAGCAAAAAGCCCACAGAGAGTTAGGCAGAAGTTCTAATCTTCCCGTTGTCTTGTTTCAACAGACCTTCTATTCCGGTTCAAACACCCTGGTGCCTCAATAATGAACACATGGAAAACATTGATCTCGAGTTTTACTCTTACTAGAGACCATCAGCAGTGCCAGGGTTTGAACCACGGACAGCCTGCCAGCACGGCCGCACAATACCGCGCGCGAACCAACCGTATTATCACATCTGAATAGGTGAACATGTTGACGCTCGAGCCATATGATAAGTTCGTCCCAGGGACTATGCTGCTTGCATCAGTCGACTGACGCACACCTCAGGAGAGTCAGGTTGCTTGAACCCTGCTGGTCAATTTTTCTATTAGCTACCGCTGGTTAGCGTGTCCGGAGAATGAAGAAGTTTGCAATGGACGAAAGATTACAGTGTAGCCAGAAATTAGCGAAATACACTCACTCATTTACAAACTAATTTGGTTTTTCGAGAGACTCACCTGGAACTCAGCTGAATCTCTTGGTTTTGATGTTTTCAGGTGTTTTCAGCAACCACATGAGTAGTGCATTACAAAATATATGTGTATCGCGATATCTCGAATATCCTAGCTATTGAAATATGAGGCGGGCTGGTGCAGCACATTCAGTTGCCTAGAAACATCAAAACCGAAAGATTCAGCTGGGTTCCAGGTGAGTCTCTTGAAAAACCAAATCAGTTTGCAAATGAGTGTATTTCGCTAATTTCGTGCAATTCGCTTTCAACTAGAACCTAAGGTTGAAGGAAACTCGGGGACTGCATCTACCTGATGAGCCACAACAAGGGCGAAACCGGTCGTGGGCTGTCGAGGAGTTTTCAGCAACCTTAGGAGTAGTGCATTACGAAAATATGGTCAGAAAGTCTTCAGTGAACTGTAAGGTAACCATGTCGAAGAGAATAACAAAAACGTTTGGCGTACGATATTTGAGATTATATCCCTAAAACGCTTGAAGAAGGGGCACTCCCAGAAGCACAGTTCTTCCGACGGCCAATCCAAATGAGGGCATTGTAGTAAGCCAAAGATAGCTCGGTGGGCTAACCCGAATGCTCCTGGTTCGAACCCAGCCCAGGAATCTTGACTGTTCTAGTCCTGGCTTGGGCAACCTGACAGTAGCTTGGCCTTCGTGCTTTCTTTGGGTGACCTGTTAGTCAGATACCCAGAGAGTGTTACAGTGTATGTGCCATCGATTATGTGAAGGCAGTCAGACACCATTTTTTGCGATGTCACGTGCCACTGACATTGTAGCACGGGTGAGAATATCATCAAGTCATTGATGGAAAACCTGCCAAACGCAGTGTTTTCTAGTGCTTGTCTTGGCAATCCCGGTTAGCCTAGGTGGTGTAACTACCGTTTTCCCTCTTCTGTTGAACTCTTACAGATTGTATGGTACAAAGGCCAAGTGCATGTGGCTGTTAGACGGGAGTTTGTGGACTATATGTTGAACGAGGACAAAGCGATTCGGCTACTGGATGAGCTCAAAGAGCATGAATCGAGGGAAACGTCACATATTAATCCGGACGAAACATTTTTTGCCACACTGAATCACAACCCCGACGTCTTCCCCATTCCCGGAGCGAGCT